TGTGTGTGTGTGTGTGTGTGTGTGTGTGTGTGTGTGTCAGGGAGCGTTTCCCGTGTAACCGCACTGCCGGGCTGTTCGGCAGCAGCACCCATCACGCTGCTCCCCTTCCCTGGAGGCACCCAAGAAGCTGGGTGGCTGCAGGTGTTGCAGCTCAAGTGAACTTGCATGGAGAACTCACTTAAATACCGAAAAAAACCAGGGCAATGTGGCTTTCAAAGAAAAGTTCGAATATCTGACTGTCATTTCTTTTTAGTTCTAGAATGGGGAACAGCCAGACTGCTTTTGTAGGACTGCCCAATGATGCTGCTGTGAATCAAATACAGGTAGCATTATTTATATTGCTTTTACTGATTTTCAGCATTTTTAAAAGCCAGTTACTTCAAACCTTTTCTTATTTATACAAAGAAATACTGTAAATAGTTCTGCCTGTTGAATCTGTTCCTATGTTTATTATGGTTATCAAGTCATGCTGGCAGTTTTGTTTATCCACAGCCCTGGAGCCTGATCTTCCTAGGCTGCATTCATTTTATGGTTTTTTTTTTAGACCTCTACTCAAATTCAGTGCTGCTATCAACATTGGGGATACAACCTTGTAAAATTACTGATATCAAGTAAAGTATTTTAAGAGGTTGGGTTTTTTTTATAAATTTACTGATAACAAATGATAGCCTGAAATTCCCTTGAATTTACAGTAAAGTGATAAGGTTGTATCTTCCACTCGCTTGCTTTTGATCGCTGTGCTTGCCACTGGTACACTCCAAGTGCCTTAAAAGACAGGGAAAACTGCCCTAAACAATTCAGGGGGATGCACGGAGGTGGGCAGACTGCAAAGCAGTTGTACCATATACTCCACCATCCTTGTGCTCAGTTTGGAGCGAGGTTCAGGTCAAACCTGCCTTCAAAGGTGCCAGCAGAGATTTTCCTGTGTTTGCTACTCTAACAGCAGTTTTCTAACTTGTGTATTACTTTCATGGCTGTCTTGGTTTGAAAAAACAGGTGTCTGCTAAGGAAGGCAGGAACCTCCCTTGAAATGGAAAAATGCAAATCCCCCCTCCCCCCCCGAATTATTGTAATCTTCATATCAAGGGGCTCTCAGGTAAAGATACGGAAATAGGAATAACAGTTCTTTACTAGGAAAATTAAAAAAAAAATGCAGTAGTACCAAAAAAACCCCAACCCCGCACCCCCCAAAAAAAACCAAACAACCAAAAAAGCCCCCAAAATACAACAAAAAAACCCCACAAAACAAACAAAAAAACCCCAAACACTGACAGAGTCAGAATACGGTCTGACACCCTGTTGGTCTGGGTGCTGGTAGCAGTTCGATTAAATGCTGGCTGCAGTCCTCCTGGAGTGACAGATGTGGTTCTGTTGAAGCAATGATCCTGTGGAAGGGTGTAGTTTTCCTCTGTAGGTGCAGTGGTGGTGTAGATGGGTCCAGTCTTCCTCTGGGAACCCAGAGGAGAACAGCTGACTGCAGTTCCAATTCTCAAAGTATGTCCAGGTAGGAATCTTTGGCTCCTCCCACTGGGTGGAGCATCTCACAATGGGATGATGTAATTTTATCAGTCATGTAATGATACTCAGTGGCCCATTAACAGAAGATATCCCCCTGAAGTTATGAAGGATGGGTCTGGAAGAGATAAAAACTAGTACCCCACCTGGTTTTGACAGATAGTAATAGAATACTTAATTTTGTTATATCTTGCATTGCAACCCAAGATACTGTCCAATAGTGTTCAAAGTGCACTGGCTTGAAGCTCACTGAATTTTTCTTTTGAGCATGCAGGACATTATTTCACACAACTGTGTGGTGATTTTTTCTAAAACAACATGCCCATACTGCAAAATGGCAAAAAAACTGTTTGAGGGTTTGAATGTCAATTACACAGCTGTTGAACTGGACATAAATACAAACGGAAGGCAGTTCCAAGATGCTCTGGAACAGATGACTGGTGGCAGAACAGTGAGTATATTCTCTTATATGTAACAACAGCTTGGGCTACACACATCACTCTTGGGTTATATCCATAGCAAGTCCTTAATTGTTTTGAGACAGTTAAATTTAGGATACAAGCTTCTAAATTAAATACTGCAGGAGGCTTCTATCTCTTGTTCTAGAACCTCTCTGGCTATTCCTCAGAATTATCTTTTACATAATGCCACTGAAATAATTGAAGTATCAAAGTAATTTTTCATTTGTATATTTAAACAATTATGTTTAACACTTGTATTTTATTTTATATAGTCTCAATTAACTCAATTATTGGAATTTATTACAATCATCCACACAGTGACTTCATCCCACTTTTGAGTGGCACACAAAGTTTCCCTTCTCTGTAAATATTACAGAAAAGTATAGGTTGTACACTAACATTATACACACATCTAGAAGAATACAATAATTGTGTGTACTGGAGCCCACATGGGCTTGCTTTAATATTTACCTTTTTCCAGTAAGTAGCTAATGCAACTTTTGTTTTCTTGATAGGTCCCAAGAGTGTTTATCAATGGGACTTGTGTTGGAGGTGCAACAGATACTCAAAAGCTTCACGAGGAAGGCAGACTGCTTCCTTTAATTAATCAGTGTCAAATGAAAGCAAATTACTGAGAACCATCTCTTAGCTTCGTCTTCCTCTGTATGAACAATTTCAGATGAGTTCAGAAGATCACAGACAAATGGCAGGAACTGCACTCAACACCCTCAAACCATGGCTTTCTGAATTATGGATCACTCTGACAGATTTTATGGACTTGGAAAATTACTTGGTGTCTTTGCCTTAGCTTTCCCACAACCCAGATGGTCATTAGCAAACATGTAACTCTTGGGGCTCTTAGTGAGCCAGTAATGTCATTTCATTATTACATCCTGCTCCAGGGAAGTCCATGCTCTGCAAAAAGAATTCTGTGGGTTTTGCTGCACATTAGTTTATTTTCTAGCTTTGTCTTAATAAACTGTCAGTTTCATTTAATGGTTTCTTTAAATATAATTCTTTGTCAAATTAAAGTGTATAGCAAACCCAGTTTGTAGTCATATTGCTGTGTGCATGTCTGCCTCGCTTGTATTCCAGTGCCTGATAACCCAGCTCCCAAATCATGTGTCCAGTGGAACAGAAAAGGGAATAAAGATTCTGGCAGCTTTAGAGAGTGATAGCTTTCATCTTTACTCTGCACTGTGAGGTATCAGTCTGTATTGTCATTCAGGATTGTCCTTCCAGGGGGAACAGGCACTCAACTGCCACTGCAGACTACAGTACAACCAAGCCAACAATAGCATGAAACATAAGACCAAATGAAGTGGGTCTAATATGCATAGAGTTTATTTAGTACTTAAATTCTACAGTCAGAATGCAGTTTACTAGCCATTTTAACTTTCAGTTTTATGTCTAAAAGAAATTACTAAAATTCCATATTTTCAGTACAATGTACATCCAAAGCCAGACCAGGTAACACCAAGACTCTTGGTTATTTTAAAGAAGTTCATATGCAGGTAGGAAATTATATTCCATTCTTCAGTTAAAGGGACCATTACACAAATAAAGGTTCACATATTGGAATAAAAACATTAGTCAATTTTTTACTCACTTTTTGTGAATTAAGACTCCTGTTATTTCCATTGCTTTCAGTATTCCATGTACCTAAACTACTTTTTCCCCCTCAAGGGAAAAAACCATCAATCTTTAATTCCAGCTAACTAGGATGAAAAGAGTATAATTTAAACTCGACAGCTTTGTTTTTGTGATGCAGGTTTGAAATAAATGTAAACTGCATCATTTGTAGAAAGTCTTTAGTATACAGTTGTCTGCATGGTACATCTTTAATATGTAATCAGCTAATTCAACACACTGACCTTGTTTCATTTTAAGTATTGCAGTTTACTGTATGGTGCTAGGACACAGTCATCAAGGTAAACACACAAATGTGCATCTCTCTCTGAATTTACACTTAATAAAGCAATTTATTTTGCACATACAGTCATATAAGAATACCAAGTATCCTTTTTCTCTTTGTAGAATTCTTCAGCCAGTGATGTTTTTACCAGAAGCTTAACAAAAATTTTGCCCCCAAAGCTGATAAACCCATCATGTAAAAATAATAACAATAGTATGCAAAGGAATTTTTCAAACACCTTTTTATTTTGTTCCCTGTTTAGAGGCTTGTTTATTTAGCCGGTAGTCTAAAATAACCCTCTGAGTTCCAAGTTCTGGAAATCCCAGGGCATTGTCACTTAAGGCAAATTCTCTTGCAGCTGTTGAAACAAGCTGTGTGCCTGCAGATGCGAGTGCCCCATCATTAAATAGTGTCTAGCTTAAGGCACTCAAAGGGTTAATTTTATTTCTTTTTAACCACATTAAGGCTCCCCATCCTAACAGTTTTTTCATTGTGTACAATTTCACAGAAAGTAGCAGCAAGACAGTGCCTTTGTTACTGGATGGTACAAAGCCATGTTATGCTTAAGTTAATTAAACATAATATGGCAGATAAAGTGTGGTTCTACTCTAGGGGGAAAAAAAAAAAACCAAAATGAAGAACCTCAAGAATAGTAATTAAAAATTTCCTTTTTTCTTCCCCCCAGCATTGTCTCCAGGACAAAGCTGTTTATCTTAAAATATGCTTGTCCTGGGATCTAAATATTAAAATATATCCACTAGAAAATCTGGGTACCTGCTCATCCATCTTAAATCCCACACTTCTAAGAAGCAGAAGCTGAAAAGAAACACTGAGTTATTTAATGAAGCACACAGAGCTGTGAATGTGCCCATGTGTTGCTTTTTAAATACAGAATGATTTTTAAAAGTAGAACTACACTTTTACAGGGAAATGAAAAGACATTTTATTTGTAACTAGTTGTGCTTAAGTCTCAAGTTGGTAACATTAGGTAAACAACAATTCATATTCACTATTAATGAAGCATTTGTGAAAGTTCTCAACATACCATATATATATATATATATATTTAAACTTAAATTCAGAATATAGAAATACCTAAAGAAGCCATGATTTACAGTATCAAAATCATAAATCCAGATATGCAAGCACAGATATTTAAAGACACTATACCTTCTGCTGAAATTAGCTAATCTTTTATGATTTCCCTCAGAGCAGCATATCCATAAAACAGTGTCCTGGTCAGTGTTTTATCTTTTCCCCAGAACTCTAGCTCAGCCATTTGTACACTCCGTTGTGTCACGGTAAGATGAAATCTCTACCATTCCAGCAAGAAAGTCATTAGAACAGCTGCTTACAGTGTATCTGAGCACTCCAAACCACTGCAGACAGCAAAATAAACCTAGAAAATGGTGGGATTTCACAGAAACTGAAGAAAAGGATTAAAACCAGAAGACAAATGATTCTTTACTTAGGTTTACTTCTATAGTCTATTCTTTGAAGACTTTATCTTGTCAATACTGCAGAGAAGCTGCCTGTTTGTCCAGAATATTAATTTAAATGTTTTCCTAATTCTGCATGACAGCAGCTTGATACTGTTTAAAAGAATGAAAATTTTGAAATCACTCAACTAATTCTAGAAAAAAAGCTTTACATATGGAAAGCGAATTTGAAAAGCGAATTTTAAGAGGCTACTTTTTTCATATAAAGCTATTCACAGGCAGATGTTGGATTTTTTGTAATAAAGTATACTTTTGTCACTGATTTTTATACAGAGTTTTACCAAAAATCTGCCAGATACAGCAAATTAGATGTTTTGTAAGAGATTTATATAATTAAAGAACAGAAAAAAAAATATTCATCACTAAAAATGTTAAATACTATGCCACCAGTTCTGGTGCAGGGAACTACACTCAGTGACAGCAAGACAAGCAAGATAGCAAGAAGACATAAGAACAGAGGCAAATTTATTTTTAGAGGCAAAAAATAAAAAAGGAATGGATGAGAGCTTGTGAAAAAAGATTCAAGTATAGGCCTGAGGTGACAAGATGGAAAAGGAGAAAAAACCCCAACACTAACAGAGAAAAGGGTACAGCAAAAGAAGAAGAAACAAATGGAACCAAAACTAAAGCTTCTGTTGTGGTGCCTGTGAGATTGGGACAGGGTTAAGCAGTATTTGAAATGCAGACAAATATTTTCATAGTGTTTTTACAGACAGCAACATTATTAAAACACATTTCCCAATCTGCTGGTGTGTTTTTAAGCCAAGAACTGTTGAATAGCCTTTTAAAGCCATACCCATTTATGGGCACCAGTTAACAACAGCAATGTAAAAGACCAACATAAACCCCCTTAAGACTTATGTTGAATGAACAGGTTTAAGAGTGGTGTTAAAGCAGGAAGGTATTTTAGTTCCAGTTATTAGCAGCCCTCACACAGTGGGCATTTAGACTGGCCCTGCTGACCTCAGAACTACACCTACCTTTAGACTTCTTTTTTGAATCACAGAGGACTGCAATCTAACACTACAAACTCCTAAATTCTCCTACTCCTTGATCCAGGTCTAAAATTCCAGACATGAAATTCTATTTCTTGGCAAAATTATTAATGTCATTATTGAATTTATTACACAGTGATGATGTGCTCACTGCATTATTTTAAAAAACTTGAGTTTCCTGCCCTCTCCACATCGTTGACTGTGTCCCTTCCATGAAAAAACCTGATCTCTGATGTTCATTCCTTACAGAAGAATGTTTCATTTCTGCTGTGCTTCCAGCCACAACATGCTTTTTTTCTTCTTTAAAGACAAAGTGCCTGAACATTACAGTCTTCAACACCATAGTCTAATGCTCCAGAACTGTCAAGGGGTAAAGCTTAAGCTTAGCAATTTTGTCTTAGCTCAATTTTAAAATTATTTTTGAAGCATTACAGTTATTATTGCCTCTTTACAAGTCTAGATGTGGTTTTGGAAATTACCAGTTTAGTAACTAAGGACTAGAAAGAGGACAAATGCATGTTATGGCAAATGAGTCATGCTGTCTCCTAAAATTCAGTGTATGGGCGGATAAAAAAGATCCAGTCTATGGACAAGGAATATGCAGCATCATTTTCAATGCCCCCTACTAAAAGAGAATAACAAAACCAAAAACAGACCCCTAGAGACAAAGGTCCACATATTTTAACATTACAGCTGTCAGCATCGACTTCAGTTTCCCCTCTCTGTGTAAGAGGAGCAGATGGCAACGTGGCCTTGTAAGTGCTGGTTTTACATCACATAAACCACTGACAAGGTTTTTAGTCCAGAAATGCCATAAATGTTTAGGAGCATATTCTGTACCCCAGCAGGGATGACTAACTCTTAGCATTGGTCACAGCTATCCCAGTGCCAACAGATACAGGGATCTACAATTTCTATCAGTCCTACTGAAGAGTTCATCCTTACTTCCACACTCAATTTAAAGGAATTGCATTCTAGAGTGCTTCCAAAGATGCAACACCACTATAACCATACACTCAATCTGTTAGTAACTATTTTTTATTTTTATATGCAATAAATTTACTTGAAAGTTACCTGAAACACCGGTTTTAAGTTTTCATTTTATATTTAGTCCAAAATATTTCCTATTACTTCACAAATACTACCCCAAATAAGAAAAAGTACTTGCAAAAGATACTCATCAATCAGTTATTTTTGACATTAGCTTAGAACACCTAATCAGATGTTTGACTACTGTGTCATTTAAAATGCATTACTACCAAACCCAACCCCAAAACATGAGTGCATTTACTTGAAATAATTATTAACACGTATTGAGCAAATGAGTTTACTCCCCATATTCATGGTGTTTTGTTTAGATGCTACAAATTATACACGATTTTTCATGAGAAATGGCTGATTTTCTTTTTACAAACCCAAAAGTGCTATGTCTAAGTGCTTTTGCAGGAGCACTTGGGTTGTTCTAGAATTCACCTGAGGAGCTGGTAGCAGTCCTGTGTCCTCCAAGCATTCTGTCACAGCTGTTTTGTGAGAGTAGTGATAATTCAGTAGTGACTTACATTCATGTTGGCTGAAAGGCAACACTCTACCCAGCAGTTCTTTAAGCCCTGTTTTATATCAGGAAAGGCTTCCCTCACTAGATTGATTATGCATTAAGGGAGAGCGTAAGTAGCAGAATACCTTCAGTAACATGTAACATCCTATTTTAGCACCAAAAGAGATATCCTGGCTACAGAATGCAAGCTTTGAATTTATAATCAATAGGAATGAGGCATAATGAAAAGTGTTACACGTACCAAAAGTATAGTAGGAACTTCAATTTTACATTTAAAAGCTTGGGTTTTATGCAGAAAAATATGGTCTTACATGTAATTTACCACTATGGGTAAACATGATATTTTTATAAATCATAATTATTTTCGAATTACCATCAAATTCACTGTTTAAAACAGTCAGCATAAAAGAGGCTGAAATACATATGTTTTAGAGGAAGTCCTAAAAGCATCATTAAAAACCTTTTAAATCTTTTAAGACTGATCTACTAAAGAGATCTTTTAACTTCCCCCCCATACACACATATAGAAAACACACAATTAAATACATATACACACAAATTGCTATCAATTTCTGTTCCAAAGTGGTAGAATATTCACTGTCTTCTTGTCAGACTCTTACTATCAGACTAAAAATAAAAAATTAAAAATAAAGAATCCAGTTTCAATCACTTCCTAAATGAGATTTTGTGAATATGAAGGAGGCAACTGTACAGTTCATTAAAGTTTTTAAGAATTGGTCACTATAAACTGGAGGTAGTTTTGAAATATGTTAGATTGAATTAATTTATGAAAACAGAAATAACACTAATCTAAGAAAAGATTTAAAAAAATTAAATACTCTCCTGTTAGGAAGATTTGTTTCTGCGTCATTGTATACATACTTTTGGAAAAAAAATGTAACTTTTTGTTTCTGGTATTCCCACTCAGCTTTGGTGAGCAGGCCAAGACAAACATGCACTTGTTGATCTTGCTCACTGAAGGTGTGCTAATGCTTCTTGAAGTCGTGACAAGGACTGAATGTGACATCCTAGTCATTTCCAAGGTCCTTTTCTACTAAAAACAGTTTTTAGAGTTTCCTGGAAAGTGTTTTAATTCTAAACTAGTGCTTCTGAAATGGTACTGTGCAGAAACTGCCCCTCAATTTATCTAGAGCTATTTCCTCCTGAAAACCCAGATGATAATCCAGAGAGAAAAAGGTTAGCATAAAGTCTTGCACTTTCAGTTATATCAGTATAAAATGTCCCTGGGTGACTTTTACACTGTATCACAGTCACATGGTCTCAATACATACCAGAAAAAACTTCATTTGTAGATTTTAACTGTAATCATGGAAACCATTGAACATTAGTAACAAATAAAATACAAAGATTTAAAAAAGCCCAAAGAAAAGTCCCTCTCAATGAAGTTGCTCTTAAATTGGCATTATTAAAAATTCTAAGCCCATTTGTTTCCAGCCCCATACTAAAAGCAATTAATGAATTTATTCTTGCAAATAAGCATTCCACAGCAATGGGGGAAATTAAAAATATCTCCATATTTATGACCTACTATAAATGAAATTAAGTTATATACTATATAACCCTGTAACCACTTTTAGCAAACTTCTCACTGTTATTTTAAATTGTGTGCAACAGAAAAAGTACAAGAGATTCCTCATCTGCTTTTCTTGTTTTCCCTTTACAAAAAGGTAATGAATCACAAAATCATGAGGGTTGGAAAACAGCTCTTAAGATCAAGTCCAATCATCAACCCAACAATGCCAGGTCCACCACTGAGCCATGTCCCACGAGATCCACATGGTTTTGGAGCACTTCCAGTGATGATGATTCTGCCACTTCCCTGGGCAGCCTGTTCCAATGCTTGGCTGCAAACAGGATTTGAGGGTGAGGCTCAGCAGTGCCAAGTACAGAGGAACAATCTCTTCCCTAGTCCTGTTGACACTCTTTCTGATCCAAGCCAGGATGCCCTTTGGCCTTCTTGCCCACCTGGGCATAGCTAGCTCTTATTCACCCACTCTGACCAGCATCCCCAGGTCCTTTTCCACTGGGCACCTTTCCAGCCAGTCTGCCCCAGCCTGAAGCATTACATGGGTTTGTTGTGACCCAAAGGCAGGACCCAGCACTTGGCTTTGTTGAACCCCACACAATTGGCCCCCTGGATCCAGTCTGTCCAGATCCCTCTGCAGAGCCTTCTTGCCATCCAGCAGATCAACTCTTTGGCTCAACCTGGTGTCATCTGCTAACTGACTGAGGGTGCCCTTGATCCCGTTGTCCAGATCAGCCATAAAGGTACTCAGCAGGACTGGCCCCAACAGTAGCCCCGGAGACCACCACTGGTGACCAGCCAGCAGCAGGATGTTACTCAGTCACCACCACTCTCTGGAATCAGCCATCCAGCCAGTTTTTCACCCAGCAAACAGTGCACCTGTCCAAGCCATAGGCTCCTAGCTTCTCCAGGAGAATGCTGTGAGAAACAGTGTCCAAGGCCTTACTGAAGTCCAGGCAGACGACATCCACAGCCTTTACCTCATCCACTAGGGAGGTCACCATTCATAGAAGATCAGGTTGATCAGGCAGAACCTGCCTTTCATAAAGCCATGCTGGCTGGGTCTGATCCCTCGCTGTCCTGCATATGCTTGTGTGATCAAGATGATCTGTTCCATAAGCTTCCCTGGCATCAAGTTCAGGCTGACAGGCCCGTGGTTTTCTGGATCCCGATTCTGGCCCTTCTGCTCAATGGGTGCCACAGTGGCCAACCTCCAGTCATCTTGAGACCTCCCTGGTTAGCCAGGATTGATGATAAATTGTGGAGAGTGGCTTGGGTGGATTCCATCCAACCTCACAGACTTTTGAACATTTAAGTGGAGCAGTAAGTCACTGTTCCCTCCTGAATTACATGGACTTCATTTTGTTCCTTGTCTCTGTCTTCCCAAGGACAACTGGTCTGACTATTAAAGACTGAGGCAAAGAATGCCTTTGTACATTAGCATTTTTCTCATCCTTTGTGGCAATGCTTTCCCTCATGTGCTTTAAAGGATGGAGATTCTCCCCTTGGCCCGCCTTTTGCAGCTGATGTATTTGTAAAAACACTTTTTGTTATCTATTACGGCAGTGGCCAAATTACTTTCTAGCTCGGGTTTCACTTTTCTAACCTTTCTGCATAATCTAACATACTTCTAGTCCTCAAGAACACCGCGCCTTTTTTCCTAAAGGTCTTTCTTTCCCGAGTTCTAGTGACTCCCTGCTCAACCAGGCCAGTCTTCTTCCCCACTGACTCATCTTCCAGCACATGGGGACAGCCTGCTCCTGCATCTTTAAGATCCTTCAAGAATGTCCAGCCTTCCTGGACCCCTTTTCATTCAGGCTTGAATGAATCCTAAAAGGCCAAAGTCTGGCCTCTGGGGCTCCTCAGCTTGCCCTACACCCTCTTTGACTCCAAGGTGGTGCTCAGAGCCCTGGAGGTGACCCACCTGCTTTCTGGCACTGCTGATCACTGCTGCTGCTGAAGTCCTGGGGGACAAGGAGCTGGACATCCTGTAGTACAACCCCCTGCTCCTGTGGCTAATGAAGGCAGCATGTCCTCAGCAGGTGCTGGGCCTGCTGCTGCAGCAGGGGTACCTGTAGCACAAGAACTCCAGTCTGTGAGGAGCTGGACAATAATGTGGCCCTATTCACTTACCCTGCTGAGGAACTGGATGTGGCCAAGCTGGGGTCTGGGCTAATTCCAGCACTGGTGAAGAGCAAGAGCAGGGTCCAGCATGCTGACACAAAGTGTTTGCTGTGATGGTGTCTTCCTTGGGCCCAGGCAAAGCCACCCTTCTCAAGGCAGTGGGTGCTGTGGAGCTTGAGGACAACAGGAATGGGATAATTCATGTGTTCCTAGCCAGGAAGACTTTGGTGAAGCTCAGGGACCAAGAGTTTGTTAAGTACACTGTGGTCCTGCCATCATCCCTTCATAAAAGAGGGTCCTGTTTACCCCCTGGGACGGATCCAGACTGGCTGTTGCTGGCCCATAGACTCAGAGCACAGTTACTGTGGATATCACACAAGAGATGACACTCTTTGGCATTCCACCTCACGTAGAGCACAGGCTGGTCAGGGAATTAAGTCCAATTGGAGTTTTGAGTGTGTGTATAGGAAGAAACCAGCTGCCTTGGGAAAATGAGTGTGCTGGATACAAGGAAGGTGGCTGAGGAGTGGAGATGCTGTTCTGAAGGGGCATGGAGCAGGGCTGCGAGCTGTGCTGCAGGATTCTGAAGGGTGATGTGACTGCACTGCCAGCCATTACCATGAGTATCCAAATGTGCACTGTGTTGCTGTATGGCGCCAAGTCCCAGGATGACAGTGGTGACATGTGGCTGCCACCTCCAGTGGCAGGGGATCACTGGCTACTACTGACAGTTTGAGACCAGACATACAAGTGCTGAGTTTCTCTGAATCTGTTAGATTTGCATGAGACTGAAGTTCTGTTCAACCTTACAAATACCTTAGTGAGAAGCTCTAGTCAGAAATACTTGAAGTGCCACCACCTCCTGTAACATTCTGATATGTATACAATATGCCATAAGCTAATAAAGTATATTTGGCTGGGAGTTCCCAGAGTGAAGTCTGTTGCCAGCAATGGACCCACTGGGAAGAGCAGATGCCTGAAAAACTTAAATCAAATCCAAAGTGAAGTTTCGAATGACATCCAAAGCTCCTGTATCGAAGCCACAGATATCCAACATGCCTCTGTCATCCGTGCCCGCAATCGTAAAACCACGGGAGGTCATTCCACAAACAACCAGCTTAGCAGGAATACCCATTTTCTAGAAGGAGAGAAAAAATATCAGAAAACACATATAGAGTAAAACAGGTTCATATATGCAGTAACTTAAATATGTCAGAGGGCCAAATCTCGCTTGTGTAAGCCACTGTCTTAAGAGCTGTGCTGACAGAAACGAGGAATGCCAGAATGGGAACTGCAGGATGCCTGTCAATACTGGAATGGCAGCTAACCTCAACAAAGGAAACCAAATTAAAGATTTTTGGTACTCATTTCAACTGGGTGGAAACTATGTAATGATAATAAAGTTCATACACTCATGCCTGACAAACTTATTTTTGGTAGTTTAAAAATAGTTTCTTTAAAGCGTAAAGGATTGTTTGCTGAATAAATAAGGGTTTCCAATAGCAATGTGTTTGGAGAAGGTATTTTTCTTTGATCTACTGTAAAATTATGAAGCTATACAACTTAGAGCAGTCCCTTTAAAACACAATGGGCTTTCTTCACAAGATACTGCCACCTCATCCTCTTGACACTTGTCTTCATTACTTCATTGAAACTTTTTGACATCTACTGCAGACATCGAAGTTGAATTTAGCTCTGAGAGTCCATTCTGTAACAACTATAAAAACTTATTCAATCAATTATATACAGGATGTAGAAATTCATACAGTCCCTGACTAACAAAATTTCAGGGACATTGCAGCACACGGTGCAGGGCAGGCAATTAAAATTTCTTTTAGCAATTCTGTGGTTTTAAATATGTAGAATCAGTGCAAATATGTGCACCAATTCTGCCTAACTGCAGTATTTATAAGTTTTTAACAATATGTAAGGATTTAGTGAAGAAAGCCACAACCAGTCCAACCTCCAAAAGAGCTGGTACTTTGTACAGTATTTATTAACCATAAACAGTCAGAAGCATATTTACCTCTCTGTACTCTGTAAGGGCCATTGCAGGAGGAGTACTCCCAGCAAAGGTCTCATTATCAGTAAATACAATGAAGACATCAGCAGGTGTCTGAGTTTTTTGAGCCCATATCATTGGAAGGGAACAATCAGTGGTACCCACAGGAATCTTATAGAGAAAAAAATAAATATACAGGGAACACATTAATACAGAAATTAACAAACCATGGAAAAATTACTTGTGATGCAAGCTTCATGTTTTATCATGTGTTACTACGCAAAAAGGCTTTTTTGTTAAACTTGGTCATTTTATCAAAGTTTGCCCAGGGGTTTTTTGTTTGAATTTTTTTTTAATATTCTTTTCAAGCCAACTCATTGTGACCTAGCACTACCATTCTAAATTGCAGTGTCTAATATCCAGCAAATAAAATAACAACATTTGCTGGGCCTTCTCTAAATAAAATGCAACAAAAAAATCCAATCTTGCACTAGAGAGATACAGATTAAACAAAGAAAAACAGTTTATTACAATGAAGATACAGTGTAACTGCTGAGACTTTTTTTTTTTTTTTTTTTTTTTTTTTTTTACATACTTCATACATTTTCACTAAAACTTGAGGCAAGGTCATGTCAGCTGTCACTGGACAAGGGACAATTTCGTGTGAAAAGGCAACAATTTGGGAATCCTTCTCAGTCCGTGCTACAACCTGTGAAAGAGGGAGACAAAAATAATTCAGTTACACTACTCTGAAGTTTCATGTCTCAACTGAGCCATTCCCTACTAACACACAGCATGATATATGCTTTTGTACTTAAGTCACCATGGTTCCTCATAAACAGTAATGGTTCACTCTACACTTCAAATATTCTGTAATATTACTGCAAATAAACACCGCAAAAAAAGCTGAACAACTGCTCTAATTACTGTAACTAAAGATACTTCCATTTTTCTTGTCTCCCTTCTGACATAAAACCTTGACCATTTTTAAGGGCCAACAAAAGTTCAACTCCTCTGCAATAAAAGAATACAGCACAAGAAGCTTTAAAATATTAAACTGAGGGGAAAGTGATTGCAAAAAAAGTCCACATTGATAACTAAATAGACATCTAAGAATCATCCCAATATTTCTTAATCTAATCTGTACTTTTCTATGAATGCTTCTGAAAAAATCAAAATGTGTAAGATAAAGCTGTATTTTTTTTCTTATAGTAAGTCATTTTATTATGGCTAAGATAAGTGAAAATGCTGACCTGATGACTTTGATTTACAACAGAAACCAACTTCTTCAAACTGATGTTTCTGAATATGGTTGCTAGTAGCTTTCAGCAATGAGGCACAAGGTCACACTTTCTGTACCCAAAAAATATTATATGTAAGATTCCTCTTGATTTCTAACCAGGCTTTAGAGCACCTTTGCATCAAAAAAGCAATGCAAGCTGAAAACAGTTATAAATAAAATACACTGAAAGCCTCACCATACACATTACTGCTGCAACTGTGCTGGCATTGAGCACACTGCCCAAGACCTTTTGTGTCATTGATGCACTGACATCAACTGCAATTACAAAGCGTTTTCCTGTTGGTTCCAATGTCTGAAAGAATAAAAGACAAAAATATAACAGGTACACATAATTTATATATTAAATTTCTTCTTCTGTTGCCAAAGTTTCAGAATTGTTACCTACCCCAGGACTAGTTCTTGATAAGATTTCACAAAACACGGAACTCTTAAAAAGCTTAACAAATTGGAGAACTATCATGTGGTAGTTTGACATTAATTGACATTTAGGGAAAGAAGTAAGAACCACCCACGGAAGTGATTTCTTTGAGAGAAGCTGCTGGGAGCTTCCTCTGTACCTGAGACAAGCCAGTAGCTGGTTAGCTCTTAGAACTGACAACATTTTGCACCATTTAGAAATTAGATCCGCCTTTGTGATGATCAAAATTTTAAAAATCACAAGCCTGGGAGCTGGCCCTCTTTGCTTCCAGACCCAGAAGGGGGTGGAGCTGCGCTGAGGCCAGCCCTGCTCCCCCACGGCCTGTGCAAGGGCCAGACTGGACCCCAGCAGCTCCCAGGCAGAGGGACAGAGGCTGCTGAC